ATGAGAAAAAATCCGTATGAAAAATACACATTGAATAAATGTCTACTTTGAATGGAATAACACTGTTTTGGGAAGTAATGATGATCACATTAACACTGACTATGAATTAATAATATACAGTGAAGATCAGTAGATAGCAGCTAGAATGACACAGCTAGTTAATCATGTCCATTGATCGTTTAATTGTTTTATGCGGTATCAAACAAAGTGTGATTGGAAAAGAAAATGAAATAAAAGAATTCGTTTTGATCACAGATCTTTCCTGAATGAATTTAAATTTCGAAACCAGAAGTCATTTCAGAAAATTCATATTGGCAACATTGAAATTAATAAATCAACAAAGGATGAAATAGAAGCCTAACTGAAAGGTTTAAGCTCATCTGTATGCCCTAAACTTGTTACTAAAAATTTAAACAACAAATATAAATTCTTGTTGTTTTTGGAGTTTTTTTTTTTTGAAAAAGAAAGAATGATTAAAAGGGGATGGAATGCATCTGTGAAAGGGAAGTAACAAACGAGTAGGATGGCATCAGCAGTAGCAGAATGACATGAAGAATGAGAACGAACTGTGAGATGAAGGGGCACAATCTATCTATCCATCCATCCCGAGGCGATCCGTCAACCTTCATGAGAAATTTGTCACTTGAAAGTGCAAAAAGCTTTACCATCTCGAAGCAATTCTTTTCACTTATCTTCACTAGAAAATACAAAGGAAGGTATTCTAAATATTCACTACAAAGAATGGACAGCATAAACATTTGAAAATATTTCCGATATGCTAATGAACGTTGACCTATTTAGTGACTTCAGTAAATTGTCCTCAGGTGAAAACTTCTTATGTACTTCGTGATATTTGCAATAGACAGGGAAGAAAATCGGAGAAATGTGCGTCGTCGTATTGAAATAATCAAACTTGTAAAAGTGTAAAATCTTGCATAGGAAAATCTTACAAAAGCTTGAATAAAAAAAGGTGAAGTCGCTAAAGTATTGGTCCTAATGACTACACGAAATATTCCAATGCATTAATGAAAACAAATCTGTTCCGGCAGTTTAAAGACATTGCCTTTAAAGCGTTAATATAATCATTTGGCTTAGAAAGTAGAAATGACTACTAAGAAAATCACCTCATGTAAAAAGAAAAACAACGAACGAAGTTGTTTAGTTCAAATATCTGAATTAAGCTTTATGATAATAACTTGTCACACAAACCATGACAATTAAGTAAGGGGCAAATTGAAAATAAAATTTCAAACCAAATTAGAAATGAAATTTGGACTTTAATCAATAATAATGATAAAGAATTTCAATAATTCACTTCCATCAGTGATATTCACTACAAAGAGATAAAGAATAGTATGAAATATTAAGAGACACATTTCATATTTCAATATGTTATGCTCTATTTCCCTTCCAGGGAGGTAAAGAAAATTGTCTAAAAAGGACTCGTACAATTCAGTATTAACATTCAGTTTCACAAGTATGAATCTAAACAGCAAGTTCTACAGCAGTCAAGACCTATGAATTCTTGGAAATAACTCATCACCAAGCTAAAATATCGGATACACACACATACGTCATACAATCACGTACACACTCAATGACATGAAGGAGTGCTAAAAGGAATAAAGCCTAAACTTAAATTAAATTCGCAGCAAAAATGCCATTTCCCAATTTCCTTGAATCACAAAAATCTTCAATTTTTGTGCCGACTTTTCATGAGAAACTTGCAAAATGTTATTCATTAACCAATGCAAGCTCATTCGTCCAATATATGGATTAAAACAAATAGTGTAATGTAGTGGTTAATATCGCATGAGACAACTTTAATGCAGTGGTCAAACGATTTAAGATACTCAAAGTGACCTCAGTAAATTAAATGAATTCGTCTTTTAGAAGTGACGTCAAATCAACAGTTTGTTGAAATGGAATGGAATGTAATCCTCGAAGAATATTACTATACTGCAAGAAGTCATAACCAGCAAGAAACGATTCCATTCCAAATAGATTTTATTCATTCAATTGCTTCTTACAAAACTGGCTGGAAAAAAACCTCGAATGAATGAAATTTCAATGATAGCTTTTACCAATAAGCTTTTTACATGTCTATAACTTGAATCTGATGCAATGAAGCTTTGTTAAATTTCAATAGGCAATATGACACATCGTTAAAAGAAAACAAATAAGCAACATTTTATCGGGTTGGCCATAAATTTTGTTCAATGAGCATTAAAAGGATAGATGTGTTTGGAAGAGCCAACAATGAGACAGTCAAGACATAAATTAAATGTTACTAAGCCCTTGCCTACCCCTCCAAACGAAGTGTGCGACACTACCCTACCCAAGCTCTTGACCACTGCGCGTCCACCTCTCTCATTTGATGATGTCCTCTTCCCCACCTCCCGCCGTATTTCATCATTTGCTTGTTGAAAAGTGCTGAAAAGGAGACGAGCACTGCGATACCACACACACACACACACACACACATGTAAACACATATACTGTCTCACAGTGAGGATGACCTTTACCCTTCAGTCTCTTCAACAATAACGGACTGGGTTAGAATGAGGAGAAAGATACTGGAGAAGTATGAGACAAAAGACTGCCAAGTAAATTCAATATAATTTTCCTTTTTTCCTTACCCTCCTTCTTCTCTCTTTCTCTCTCTTCTTCCTTACCAAAATAAAGAAAGAACAGTTCAAAAACGAGAAAGGATCAGGAATGAATATTTGGACTGCGGGGAAGAAGAGGAAGAATAGAAAATAGTAAGCTGATGAGGCGGGGATGGCAAGAATGATTAAGTGCGCCCCCTCTCTCCATCCCATCCCGCCTTCCTTTGCTTGCATTTGATGGATGGCTCAAACGACTGACTGATGACTAAACTGACTGACGGACTGATGGACTGGATGGGGTTGCAAAAGCTAGGCCAAATGACAAGCAAGCAATTTCTCGATGAATAGATGATGGCTCGATGGAAGGAAGTTCGATCCCAGTTCTCAGTCATGATGGATTGTCGAAGACATTGGGATGCATTGCGCACACAAAGTTTACCTTTCTCGACTTCCTCTTCAGCAAGCACCCCACGCGGATATCTTGGCTGGCATCTCAGAGTACTGCCAGTCAGGATTCTCTTTTGAGCCTTTCTCTCTCTTGTCACTTCAGCTGTCATCTTCGCTTCCTCATTTCATCTTTGTTCCAAATTCGAAAAATGACTTCGAACTCTTCCTTATTTTTGTGATAAATTGTTAGAGGAATAAGGCAGCATTAGTTTTTCATTTAAGAAACCTGAAAGAATGAGAAGTTTTGGTAATTCCAGAAATACTTTTATAAGGAAAACTTGGATTAACTAGTACTTTATCAGTGTTTCATTGTTCAGAACAATGAGCGCAAACAGGAGCGGTTCTTCCTTTCTTTCTCAACATTCGAATAATTATCTTCCAACAAATCGACAGCTGGCCCAGATAATATGCATAGCATATTATTGCCTACTGAAATATTGAATTTGCATATTAGAAGATTTCCGTCTATTGACGCTGTGCAATGTTCTTCAGTTCAACACTGAAATTTAAATACAAAGACTGAAAGGGAAACGTATAAAAGTTATTTTAACTTCCCTCTAACACTGCACGAACAGAAATAACAATAATCATTTTTAAATGTTAAAATTAAACTATTCACGTGATACACCTATTGCGTCGCATTTGAATATTCTTCAGTTTTGACATAATCGTCTCTTCGGTACAAATTTAAATTGCAAAATAGATTGGAAAAATTGGAGTGAAATCCTTCGGAGGTAATAAATATGCACTTTAATGGAAAATAGTATTATATTTACATTTATACATAAAAATTGTTTTATCAATGGCATGATTTCAATGCATTTCTCTGTCTTCTGTTATGACAACAACTTTACAAGTGATGCTTCACGTGTACTCCGGAAATGGTGATCTCTTCTACCGTCTGTGTAAGTTATCAATCATAAAATTGTTTTTATAAAAAATACTTGCAGACAATTTTCTCAGTAAATTACTGATTACTTGGAAAAGTTGTTATTAACAAACTTTCTGGTCTAATAAAGTATTAAAGCTGCCAGGCTATTTAATAAATATCTCCTTTAATAATACAGTGACAAGAGATCGAATATAAAAAGTTTCGTATGGCAATATAAAGAAGTGAATAAAATGCCACCGTCATATTATACGTCTAAATATAACGTTAGTTGTTTGGACCAAATGATTCTATGTCCCAAAGAATAATGAGTGAATTCTGCCATGGCTAGAATCTGTTAATCATATGTCACATCATGTCATCATGCCATTGCTATTTGCACTAATTAATCGCCGTAACGTACGTATCCAGCAGATTTAATTTTACGAGAAAGGATAAATGACGCATTTGGGAACAAAAATTAGTCCATTTTTTTTGTCTATTAATGATTACACAAATTAATATGTATTTCAACTTTTACCAATAATTTTATTGCAATGCATGTAAAAATATAGGAAATTGAAATGAAATGGAAGGGAACAGGAAGCCGATAATAGCGTTGAAACTGATAACAGTTCTGTGTTGAGGTGCATATAATAGTATAATAGATAGTGGCTCCTGATAAATCGTCCACCAGCTATATATATATCATGTCTTTTCTTCCTCCACTCCAATAATTCTTAACAATATTTACGAATAAATCATTGTAAAGTGCCTAGTGGTAAGTTTTATAGCCTAATAAATTACGTGGCTAACGTATCGTTTTGTGAAGGGTGAAAATTAAAAGCATTGTGCAATATAATATATAGTATCACACATTTAGCTATCATATCAACATTTTATTGTTTAAATCATTGACAACTATGAAATTGTCATTTGCATTTATAATTACTTTTTCTTCATAAGCGTTTCATTAATTTCTCTCCATTAATCAATTACAAGGACTATTACTATAATTAACAAACATATTGAATTATCGTAACCGAACAAACAACTGAAATGTTTCTCTCGTTCTGATGCAGTTATCACTAACGCTCGGGTTGACTGTAACTGTTTTTACTTCAGTACTGGAAATCCGAGGAAAATCCCCCGTCGCTAAACTACTTGATTTAATCGAAAATGCCATTATGACTACATGGTGGTCATTCCGACAATCGAACAAATCATTTTTTGTTGCTGATAAATTTGTTTTAGACGACAGACAATTGAAAGCTACCGTACAGTTAACAGCCATAGTTTTCGCAACTACTAATGCACAAACGAAATTTCTGAAAAATTTATGGCTTGTCGAAAATAAGCTCCGGAAAAATTTTTGAATTTAGATCGAAATTCTCCTACGCCAACTCTGTCGTTAGTCCTTTCACCCACTTCGTTCATCTTGTCCTACACATTCACTGTGGACAGTTATATTTGCACACACACGTCTGTATAAGTCTACATACGTGCCTATATGTGCATACATACTGAATCTGAATCATACACGTTAGAATGTGCATCAGTGCAGCCATAGACGGAACGGAAACAATTGAGAAAGAAGAATACTGCAAGTTTGCGAGATGAATGCAAAAATTAAAAAAAGAATTACAAAAGCAGAAATGCGAAAGAGTTGTTTTTAAAAAAAAGGGAATTTCGTAGACTAAAAGCAGTGCGCGCACATATGCATGCAACCACCACATGCTCACATGCACATTCCTGCATCTAAATGAACTGTATATTGAGTATATAGAAATGCATGCTTGTATGCAGCAACACAGCAACATTAACAATCTATCTCCCTGCTTTCAAATTTTAAAGAATGTTTTGAATAGTAGCTGTTTTGGTCAGAAATGTTGAAAAATAACAAAAAAGCATCTACAAATATTTCGATAAGAGCTAATTTGCTTTGGACTATTTAAATAGCTTTAAAGATATTCTTTGAAAGGCTCAAATGCAAAGTTTAATTATCGGTTGTGAAATATGCTAGGCTAGCTAATAGTTAAAATAATAGAGTGTAATAGTTTACCTCTTCATATAATACTATATAATATAATTTTCTTCAATCTTTCTTTTTAAAAACATATAAAATGATATGAAAAACAGAGTTATGCAATATTTTTTAAAAAATTTATTGAATGGAAAGTTTCGGAATATAGAAAATTAGAATATTTAAATTTAGGTTTTGCACGAATTTGTTGTAATTTTAAAAATAAACATATAAGTAATATACAAAAATATAGAAGAATTTTATTGGTGAAACTCACATAACAAAATTTGCAGCTTCTACTTTTGAAAAATTTAAAAAGTAATTTAAAAAACAAATAATATTTTCTTAAAATTTGAAACTAACTGATGGAATCCTTTTTTGCAAATTCTACAGTTGTTTAAGTAATTCAAGCAATCGATTTATTAGTTCAAAACATTTTGAGCTAAATGAAAGCTTCGGGATATGAGAAAGGTTCGATTATTCAAATTTATTTAGTATTTTCAAAGTAGTTTTAGAATAAATTTATTATTTATGTATAGAAATTAACATATGAGTAAGGTACAAAAAAATGTGCCTAAAGAGTGATTTATTAAATCACTGCTGAAATATTTCATGAGCTCATTTTTTTTTCGGATTCTTTTTTCATTTATGAATTTTAAAGCACATTAAAAAATAAAAAACTATTCAGGAATTTGAAGATCGACCTGTACTTCTAGACTCTACTTTGAGGCTAACTTAGAAAAGTCATTAAGGTGACATAATTTTAGCGCTCAGAAATAACATTTTTTTCTTAATAATACAGACTTGTTTCTATTTTAATTATTGCACCTGTTGCATTGGCCCCTTGACCGGAAAATTCACTTCTTACATTTTAATTAGAATTTGTATGTGTTCATTTTCAAACTGCAATGAAATATCTTCGCCAAATCCCAAATCATAAAAAAGATAACTCAATGTCTATCAGCAACTACCAGTGTTCGTATGAAAAATTATGATTATTACAAACTATGAAGACAGTACATGGAAGTGACAAGAATAAGAAACTAAAAATGGAAATAAATAACTTAAAACTAATAAGCTTCAAACTCGTAAAAAAAAATGATATGCTTAAAAAATTTTTCTCTCTCAGACATAAAAGTGCCACCATCTTAAGAAATACTTCATATTTTATTAGGATATATTATTATTTAAATTTTGCTAATGAATACAATTTAGTTTTGGTGTAATTAAAACGATTCGATATATATTCTATAATCCAGAGCAAACAAGATATTTTCTGATACTATGATTTATTGTGTTAATAATCACAAATGAAGATTGAAAGATTGCTAAGACTGTTGATGAGGTTTTCAATCGAAGGCAAAGCGAGTGGATCGTTATTCCGCAGCAATCGTTGCACCTCTTTTCAGTTTCCACTTGTTTTTCATGAACTTAGCTAAATTGTTAAGTTCATTGATTAAAGTGAGCGAAAGCTTTGAGATCAGCGATCAGTTAAGACGAAATCAACTGGAGATACATCATCACGAGAATGTTGATAGGACCGAACAGCTGCCCCTACTGATAATCTCAAAGAGAAATCTCGAAAAGGAGATAACGTGACACTGAACTGTTAGGCCCACAGGGTTTTACATAAACTTCCTGTTGTGAGAATTCTTTTTTCGAATTCTCTTTGTTTGTCTTTGTGCATACGTATGCGTATATGTATGTGTTTCTATGACATAACAAATGTAATGCTGTATTGTCGTATGCGACAAAGCCGCTTTACTCCACATTTTCCTGTTTTTCTTCTTATGTCCATTTATATGAATGAATGTTGTTGCCGGCTGTGTTGCGTAAATATTGGATTAAAAAAAGTTTCTGTTAAAGAAAAAGAAAAAACGAGAGAACACAAACAAAAGTGAAGTTGTATAAGAACAGGGTGTTACTTCATTTCATATTCTTGTCTCACGTTTCATGACTTTTGTCCATCTTTCACAGCCATCTTCAATTCACTCTTCTCTCTCTTTAATGTCGTGTGGCGATGAAAAGTATACTTTCATCATTAAAATGACCCTCACTTTTAGCACATCATTCTTTTATCATAGTAGAATAGACACATGGAAGCGACGGAATAGCTGTCATCTCTTGTCCCAAATATTCTTTCATAATTTCCTTTTAGCATCAACTTTTAGAGTTCCTAATGAATCTTACGAAATAATTTTAGCGAATTCTGGCCAAAGATATTTCATTGATATTTGTATGACAGCTACTGCACACTGCTGAAAGTGTTTTCCCAGAACCTAAGCTAAGCTTGAGACATTCATATGGAAATACTCCGAACAAATCGCGTTGTCAGACTATTGGATGTTAGATATTAATAATGACTTAATAACATTAGCATACAAGCATCAATAACTTGCTTAAGAGAGAAAGGGGTCAGTCAAACTACAATTAATTTGATTTACTTGATGCTAACTTACAATGCTAATTACATTAACTTGATTACCAATAATTTTGGAGTATGTACATCAAGTTATATAATTCCATGACCTGACTTGCATGAATAATGCATGCATGCAGAATAATGCAGCAGTGTCCTTTTTGCGCCATATCAAGCACCATTTCAGTATCGGTAAACACCGTGAAAATATTACTTTCGCCAGTACATCTCACACTCCATCACTATTACTATGGTTTGAAATTGCTCTATGGTTTGTAATTTCATATTTATAGAATCCATCAACTGACCTAAATTTCACGAAGTCAACTTATCTTAATTGGTATAATTGAAAAAAGAAATATTGTTCAGGTCTTTTATTTATTTTGCTGTACAATAAACTGTTCATCTTTAACATAATTTAGGGAAATTTCTTCATCTCTTCGTTGTTTTTCCTGTAGTTTAATAAGCATAGAGCAAATTCTTTGATATATGCACTAAAAGTCACGACATTAAAAGTCTATTTCTTGAAAAAGAAATGATTAAATGAGAAATGATTTGCTAAAAAATTCAGGTCTTATGTAACCGATGTATTATTAGTTAATTAATGATTTTTTTTTTTTCATAAAAAGTTCATTTTTCCTATTTTTATCACTGATCCCTAACGACTTATTAATGTGATAAAAAATGCATTCAAAAAATGCATTATTCAACTAGCAAATAAAGTTAAGACTGCATGGAGGAATCTTATGAAATAAGAAATTCTGCGAAACCATGTACCTAGGCCATTGATCTTCTCAGCGATTACCGAAAACCAATGGATGAATTTCCTGTACCACAATAAAGTTCCACATCAATCGCACAACAGTACTAGTACCGAGTTTTTCCCCGAAAATTTCTTGAATATCCTACTTATTGTTTGTTGATAAGCAATAAGACTACCCCTTAGGGGTTTTTACCTATGCTTGCGCAGTGGAACCTGTTGACGTAAAGAGTGATGGATCAGATCTGTCTATCTATTTTCTCTTCTCCAGTTATCGAGTTCGATAGCAGCTTAGATTTTATCTCAGCAAAAAAAAAAAAAAAAAAAAAAAAAAAAAAAAAACGAGAGGTTCAGTAATACCTATGTCCCCTATAAATGAAAAACCCCTTGTTCAGCAGCTTCAAATCAACCAGTCTAACCACCATAAGTTTGTTTCGTTATTATTAACCAAATGGCTTTTCTCATTTTTCAATTTTAAGCTTAAAAAACTAGGACAAAAATGCCGCTCTATCCAGATGTTATTTACCAACCGGTAGAATTTTAAAATGATTCATCGCTTCTCGTTTCCACACACTTGTTTTGAATTTCCTTCTCAATTTTTAAATTAATAGCCACTCTATTTTTTGTTGGTAAAATTAATTCCCACTATTCAAATTCTGTATATTTATTCCCCTGCCAACGTGTCCATCAACAAAACAACAATAATAAATGAAATGCTTAACCTACAGGAAGTTCCATAGTCCATAATGATATTCACTGCAACAAAGCCAAAGTCATTGTAATAAAAATAAATTTGCACTGATGGAGCGCTTTGTGTAGTTGTTGGGCTGTCGTCTCATCCCTTTTACCTACGTGCTTGCATCTTTCGGTGTCTGTTAAGCGACAGAATACGATTTGCATTAGGGGCTAGAAACTGATAAATCGGTTGTCCATCTGGCGTTATTTATTTCAGAATCATCAACTTGTCGTATTTGACTTAGTGAGAAAACTTCCCGTTTGACATGCAATGCCAGTTGTACAGATAGATGTGTCCACTGCGAATGCAAGTAAACAGTCATATTTACGACCTGATGGAGCAATCGTTCCGATGGTACAGGATGAGTCTCTCGAGCAGCACCAGTCAGTCAGGTAATCTGCTCAGAACCGGATAGTCAGTATTTCATCTATTATGTGT